TGTCCGACTGCTTGCGCACACTGCGCTAACTGCCTCTGATTTTTGGGGGAGGCATGGAACAAGGAATAGAGTTTGTCAAAAAAGATCTGGAAATGATTGAGCCCTGAGACCTCCTTGACCACATCCCCAACTGCCAGCTCTAGACGATGATTGGAGCAGTGCCACACAAACAGGCTTGGGAATTTACTACACAACTGGGTAGCAACGCCTGTTCTCTTCCCTAGCATGACTGAAGCCCCATCACATGCAAAAGAAACGAAACACTGACCTAAAAAGTCCGTTAAAATCTCTTCCAAGACACTCCATTAACGCCTTTGTGATGTCATCAGCCGTTGTTCCATCCAACTCGATCAGCTCCCAAAAAAACGTTTCGGGCTCAGCATCAGCTAATGCTGAGCGTAGACACACAACAAGCACTGTTTTACCACTAATAGTGGTAGATTCATCGACCAAAACACAGAGTTTTCTTTGGTTTTCTGTAATGTCTTTTGCCATTTTTTTCTTCAGCTCATGAGCTATGTGGTCGATGATTTCGCCACAGGTTTTATTGGAGTGCAAAACCCTGCCCACGTTCAGCCCATTCAGTTTCTGTACATTCAAATCAATTGGCATGTCTGTGAATGGCCGGCTATGTTTGCCAATTTTATATGCCGTTCGAAAAACTCTGATAGTGGTGTCTAATTCAGATTTATGCATAGACTGCACTTGATGTTGAATAGTTTCACGTGAAGCAGATGTAAGGATGTCAGCAGCTTTTACATGGGCTTGTGATTCTTTATGTTCTTTGATTTTTTTTATCAGGCTAGCTTGTTGTTTGCCCTTGTCAACACCGAAATGAGACACTGCACACTCACCCCATTCAGTTGACAGTTTCAGTCCTTGTCCAGTGTGTATTCCCAAAGATTTGACATCTCTGCATATCCGACATCCTAGCTTCTTATCTTTAAGAAGGAGCCATGCATTGGTCTTGCAAAAATATTGCACCTGGTCCGTTGTCCAGCAGTCAGGTGCATCGCTTTGCCCGGTGTTGGTGGTGGCAGTTGCGCCAGCAGCAGCTAACGTTAGAGGCTCTGGAGGAGGCGGCGGAGCTAGTGCTAATGCTAATGCACTAGAACTTGGAGCAGGAGGATCAACCAAAGAAAGCTCCCCATCAGACACAATTTCCAACACAGGCACAGCATTCTCTGTATTTGAAGTTTCTTCCGGCGACAACCGCTGTCTTTTTGCACTTGTATTAATCCACGGTAACATTTTAGAAATGCTAATTTGTGACGTGACTTGCTTTCCTTCTCTCGGGGGCGTGCCTGCTCTGTTCTATCACTCTACATAGCCACGCACTGGGTGGGAGTTGCACTGCATAAACACAACACACGTGCATCTAGGTATGTAAATTGTAAAGCATTAAAACATGGTTTTACTAACAGTTTTCAGTATGTTGTTACTTCGGCATTATTATTATTATTATTATTATTTTGAAACGTGTATTACTATTAAATCACGGTCAAATAGGTTAATTTTGACATAGTCGTTTCCACCACAGTATTTACATGGAGAAGATAAGCCCCGCCCCCTCTCCAGCACGTTCTGTTTGAATGACAGGAGTAAACAGCTGACAGCCGCTGTGAAACTCCAGCGGTTAGAGCGATGAGAATGTCCGTTCGGCACCTCATGACGCATCTACTGAGTACCGGGCGGCTGTATATATATATATATATATATATATATATGGATGTATAATAAGAACGGCGGGAGAGTGTTGAGTACTGGCACGGTGCATGAGTACCGGAGTACCGCCAGCATGCCGGTACTGAGCAAGAAGTGCCGGTACTCCATGGGTCAGAACCAGAAGTGCCGGTACTGCGTACCGGTAAGTACCGGCCCAATTCCAGCACTGTGGTGCAGACGAAAGCCTGTCTGGAACACATCGAAACAGTCATTACTGAAGTGTTATTATTTTTAAAGAGCGGTTTAATGACTGCAGTTTTCAGGGCCTGAGGAAATACACCAGAGTGAAGAGACTTGTTTACTGAAGTAGATCTGAGGCCATGCAATGAAAAACATTTGTGAAAAAGCCTGTTGTTATAATATCAAGGCAGTAGGGGGAGGATTTCAGATGTCGTATAATATCCTCTAGGTTTTTATCATTAATCAGATGGAATTGTGTCATGGTGTTGGATTGATTTTAAGTGGACGCAGGGAGAGAGAAAACTGACACATATCTTGAGACGACAATAAGCATAACTAAAAATAGGGAGGACTGGACATTATGCAACTATTTACAACCTACTGTATGTGCAAGAGCCTAAATAGCACATTGCAAAATAGCTAAATATTAATTAAAGAAAATGCAGAAATTAGTGTGCCATTGTTATTATTAACCAGTTTAGCCCTGAGCCTGATTTTCAGGTCTCAGGCTCGAAAATGACATTCCCAGAACAAATGACCATAAATTCCCTTCTAAAAGGGTTAAATTAATAATATTTTTTCTCAAAGTAATGATAAACCTGTGAGTTGGATGTAGAAAAGTCAGAATCAATATCGATGTTTTTTATTTTAAAGAAAATTCAGATTGAACATAGTAAAAAACTGTAAATTATAGTGTCCGTCCAAAAATTATTTTTTACTTATAGTGAAAACTACCCATGTAAGGTAGACTAAGTACCCTGTATCAACATTGATGCAAAACAAGTGACATTTGACCTTTTTAGAGAGGTTTAGCAAAAAAACTCCACCTCTGAGGTGATTTGGGTGGAAATGGGGGTTGTTTTTATCGTTTTAATGCCATTGAAGACCACTTTTGACCACGACACAGGTGAGCCATGTTAGCGTTTTTAGCTACCTAGCGCCATATATTTTTATGTCTGTTCTTGTTATTATCTCCGGGAGTTCGTATAATTGAGTGATAATGAGGATACCCCTCGATTCTGTGTCACCTCACGATTTGAAAAGATGGGTTGGATGTGCAGCAAAGATACATAATAAGGTTTTGTGAGTGAATTATGGTGCAGTCATCTGTTAGCATTTTTCGCTCGTTGCTAATTCATAGGCTCAGCGTTAGCATTGTGGGTTTTTTTGTTGAAACAAAAATAGAAATGATCAGTTAGATGAGTTTCTTCCCGTTACATGGATATAAAACATTCATAGTTTATTAAATGAACATGCCCTCAGACACTGTTTCCTGCCAGATGTTGCAGGAGGGCCCCGGTACCGGGGTCTCTCGGGCTTAACAGGTTGGCAATACAGGTTTAAATAAAAAAAGAGCAAATTAGAACAAGCTTTTTATGAATAAACATTTAATAAACGTATGCCTTCATTTGTTTGCATATAAAACACATATACATTTTCAAAAAACTTAATTCATTCAAATGTAATTTATGAAAACAAATATACAGGATATGGACATATTTGTCAACTAAAAGCTAAAGGCTATTGATTGGAAAACCTCTTCAAAAAAATGGGACTTGTTATTCAAAAAGAAATGTACAATAACCACATTCTTCATTACAAGGACACTCTCTCTATGGCTAAATCCACATACATCATTTGTGATGTGTGCCATTTGGTAAAGCACTTTCAGCTGCACCTGCTCTATGAAAAGCAATATATGAATACAGCTTTATTATTATTATTATAACATAAAATAAATCTTTTATAACAATAGTTCATTTCAATCTTCTCTTTTTACTCCCGCTAAGTTCTGTCATTACATTCCCAGAAGCAGAATAAAAGGTTGCACTCACTAGTCAATGTATTAGTTACACCTGTTCAACTGCTTTGTAACACACATATCTAATCAGCCAATTACAAGGCAGCAGCTCAAAGCATTTGGGATGTAGACATGGTCAAGACGACCTGTTGAAGTTCAAACAGATCATCAGAATGGGGAGGAAAGGTGATTTAAGTGACTTTGAACGTGGTATGGTTGCTGCCATTAGTATTTCAGAAACTGCTGATCTACTGAGATTTTCACGCAAATCAATCTGTATGGTTTACAGAGAATGGTCCGGAAAAAAAAAAATCTAGTTCCCTGGGCGAAAATATGCCTTGTTGATGCCAGAGGTCAGAGGAGAATGGCCCAGCTGGTTAAAGATGATGGAAAGCCAACAGTAACTCAAATAACCACTCGTTACAACCAAGGTGTGCTGAAGACCATCTCTGAGCGCACAACACGTCGAACCTTGATGCAGATGGGCGACAGCAGCAAAAGACAACACTGGGTGCCACTCCTGTCAGCTAGGGACAGGAAACTTAGGCTACACACATTTAAGAGACGGATCACGTTTTGTTCAGTCGGATAATCTCCACATGTCTACCCTACTTTTATAATTTTTGAATCATAAATCTATCGATCATCAATCTATCGATTCGATTTATGATAAAAAAGCTGCGCAGCTTACTTCCGGGTTTTACGACGCGTCACTGCACTACTCTATTCTGAAATACTTTTATAACATACTATACTGCAACTTCTTACATTTTTATGGGAATTTCCACAAACTTAAGTTGGACTTGTGACCTTTGGTGCTCTTTTTTCTATTATTATGATTAGTATGATTATTAATTAGGTTTCATTTTTCATCTCAAGTTAGCTTTTTATATATGTTCACTTGCATCTCTTGTGTTTTACTAACTTCTTATTTTTTATTATCTTTGCATTATACAGTATTTCAGTTTATATTCACGTGAACCATATTCTAAAGCACTTTGTTCTGCATGCTTTACTGATTACTGACATTATTTTTGAAATGTTGTCATGGCATATAAAACAAATACTTTTGAAGGCATTATATAGATGACAATGACTTTGTAGAACATACTATATCATGAGTTTTAAAAATATAAGTTTTTAAATATACCATACAATGCCTTTTTGACATAGTATATAAGGACTTTTTGAGACAACTTTCACCGCTGTTTTAAAAGCAAAAAGTACATTTTGTTGGGTAAGTGAAGCTTCCTGTTTTAATGCATCTGCCGATATGTGCAAAACATGAACTCACCGCATCAGTAACTACAGGGTTGCATGTCTCCGCCTTGTCCGAGGAAGAGATGACTTTTCCTTTCCTAAAAGTAACACACACAACAATATCGAGTCATTTATTATAATTTTATATTAAAGTCTTTCATTTCATGGTGATATTTAGCAATGTTCTGAGGTGGCCATGGCTGCACTACTTAAATGTGCTGCCAGCCTGGTCACCGGTGAAGTTACACCCCTGATGACATCCTCAAAATGTGTTTACAATTTTTTCTTTAACCAGCTTTTGAAAAAATATGTTGTCTCTCACCGGTAGTAGATTAGCAGCAGCGGTACACACACCAGCAGCATCCCCAGAGCTGCCACTACAAAACCAATCCCAAAAGACAACGAGTGGAGGCCTGAAAAGTCCCCACAAAACACATTGATCCTTAAAACCAGAGAGGCAGATTATGCAGAAAAACCAAACAAATAAAAATTCACCATCTCGCAATTCCTCTACCTTGCTCAGTTTTGCTAAACGACATGTTAAACGCAAAACTGTCAAAGCCCAGTGAGTTGATGCTGAGGCAGACTAGAGAGAGCGTGTCTTCGTCCAGATCGTACAGGGTGATGATGCTCTTCATGCCCACGTTCCCCAGGGACTCTTCCCTGATTGGGATGGCAGTAGAGTGATTCACAGGCTCTCCGGCCAACTTCCAAACCAGGGAGGGAGGCGGGTTCCCCTGGCTGTAGCAGGAACATCGGATCATGGATGAAATCTTGATGCAACGGGAAGAAGACAGGATCTCTGGAGGAACTGAGACAAAGAAGTAATTTGATTTTGTTTAATGGAAACAAAGGATTGCCTATAATTAAACAAGTGTATTAATCTCACATGTGACGTCAAAGCTGACACTCTCTGAGATGCCAGGTCCGTGGATATTCAGAGCTTCACAGTAATACTGATCTTCTGAGAGTTTGGTCACATTGAAGGTGAGGTCTCTCTCAGAGCCCATCACCTTCTCCTCTCTTCCAGCCGCTCTGAACCAGGTGAAGTTCACTGCTACTGGATTGGCGATGCTTGTGCAGGTCAGAGTTACAGAGCTGCCGTCCTGCACCGGACCAGAGGGGTCAACAGACACAGATGTGTTCTTAGGAAGATCTGAAAAGGATAGTGTGTAGCTGATGTTACTAGTTCATGCTATGTCAGTCACTTCAAAATAACAAATAATGTCTTGGTTTTAAGTTAAGGATTTAGGCCCGTTGGCGTGCAACTGTCTTGCTTACCACCAATGCTTCAAGAATCACAGCATCCTCACATGATTTAAAGCTCACCCGTAATGCAATATTTGAAAAATATATTATGGAGCCTATTTCAACCCTGTTACAAAAGTGCTGATTCTGGGTCTGACCCTTTAAATGTAACCGAGCAGCTCCTGGTCACGCCCCTTCGGAGCGTCTGCATGCATGCAAGCGGTGAGCTCTGTGAAGAGAAGGCTGTGTAACCACAGAAACTCAGCTGAATGCTGCCTCGATTAAACGCCATATTATGTTCCAAACTACATTAGGCAATATTTCTGAAACAGTATGGAGCTCAAACGCTTTCTCTCTTGCGCATTTACCTCAAGGACAGTACCTTTTATATCCGGCTTCTTTACACATATTCTCTCCAGTACAGCATTAGCTCTGAGTGTTATTTTGTTATTGAGCGATGCTTGCTAATGTAAACACAGACCATATTACTGTACTTCCAAAATACGTCACACATTTTAACTTTCTGATGTATACAGCACATAGCTTGACATGTTCTTTATTCAGTGTTTACCGCTAGAACAGTGCCCATACAGTGGGGCAAAAAAGTATTTAGTCAGCCACCAATTGTGCAAGTTCTCCCACTTAAAAAGATGAGAGAGGCCTGTAGGTATAATAATTGACTCTCATACTATGAGAGTCAATTATTTGGTCAATAACAAAAGTTCATCTCAATACTTTGTTATATACCCTTTGTTGGCAATGACAGAGGTCAAACGTTTTCTGTAAGTCTTCACAAGGTTTTCACACACTGTTGCTGGTATTTTGGCCCATTCCTCCATGCAGATCTCCTCTAGAGCAGTGATGTCGCTGGGCAACACAGACTTTCAACTCCCTCCAAAGATTTTCTATGGGGTTGAGATCTGGAGACTGGCTAGGCCACTCCAGGACCTTGAAATGCTTCTTACGAAGCCACTCCTTCGTTGCCCGGGCGGTGTGTTTGGGATCATTGTCATGCTGAAAGACCCAGCCACATTTCATCTTCAATGCCCTTGCTGATGGAAGGAGGTTGTCACTCAAAATCTCACAATACATGGCCCCATTCATTCTTTCCTTTACACAGGCTCAGTCGTCCTGGTCCCTTTGCAGAAAAACAGCCCCAAAGCATGATGTTTCCACCCCCATGTTTCACAGTAGGTATGGTGTTCTTTGGATGCAACTCAGCATTCTTTCTCCTCCAAACACGTCTAGTTGAGTTTTTACCAAAAAGTTCTATTTTGGTTTCATCTGACCATATGACATTCTCCCAATCCTCTTCTGGATCATCTAAATGCTCTCTAGCAAACTTCAGACGGGCCTCGACATGTACTGGCTTAAGCAGGGGGACACGTCTGGCACTGCAGGATTTGAGTCCCTGGCGGCGTAGTGTGTTACTGATGGTAGCCTTTGTTACTTTGGTCCCAGCTCTCTGCAGGTCATTGACTAGGTCCCCCCGTGTGGTTCTGGGATTTTTGCTCACCGTTCTTGTGATCATTTTGACCCCACGGGGTGAGATCTTGCGTGGAGCCCCAGATTGAGGGAGATTATCAGTGGTCTTGTATGTCTTCCATTTTCTAATAATTGCTCCCACAGTTGATTTCTTCACACCAAGCTGCTTACCTATTGCAGATTCAGTCTTCCCAGCCTGGTGCAGGTCTACAATTTTGTTTCTGGTGTCCTTTGACAGCTCTTTGGTCTTGGCCATAGTGGAGTTTGGAGTGTGACTGTTTGAGGTTGTGGACAGTTGTCTTTTATACTGATAACGAGTTCAAAGAGGTGCCATTAATACAGTTAACAAGTGGAGGACAGAGGAGGCTCTTAAAGAAGAAGTTACAGGTCTGTGAGAGCCAGAAATCTTGTTTGTTTGTAGGTGACCAAATACTTATTTTACCGAGGAATTTAGTTGAAGTGTACCTAGGATGAAAATTACAGGCCTCTCTCATCTTTTTAAGTGGGAGAACTTGCACAATTGGTGGCTGACTAAATACTGTTTTGCCCCACTGTATATATATATATATATAACAACTTTACTCTAAGTCCCTCCCGTAGACATTCTGCTGAATACACAGACACACAGCAAGCCGACTGTATATGAAGAATGTAGGTTGGGACGTAGGCGGAACGTTGCCAGGAGTTCAATATAAAGCCAGCCCACATTTTAGTCTCCTTACACACCGGGGACACATATTTATGTATAAAAGACATTAAAAAGTGCATTTTGCATAATAGGTGACCTTTAACACACAGGAACACATGGGTGATCAACAGAACTCACTCATGTGTCATGACGGACGACTAACATAGAAATTATTTTGAGGTTGTCATGTAATGTGACAATGTGTTACTGTCCACAGTCCAGACACTGTGGTGTTGCCCTGTGACTGTCACTCTTGGCCTCAGAGACCATGTTTTGGTGACCACAGCTGGATATGCAGTAGAGCCATATTCAGTCTGTTGAAAGTGTAAATCAATGTCTTTACTGTGAAAATCAACTTACACTGAATGTCCAGCCGAATCAGTGTTGAATTTTGGTCCCCATGCTCATTTTTTGCCGCACAGTAGTAGTCACCACTGCTGCTTGGTTTGACATTGTTTAAAACCAAACTTGATCCAGCCTCCTTTTCCTCTTCATCACCTTTGTACCAGGTGTAGTTGGTCACAGGTGGGTTGGCCCGGCTTTTACAAAGCAGAGAAACAGAGCTGCCCTCCAAACGTGGACCTTTAGGCTGAGTGATTATTGTAGTTTCCTTGGGAGGAACTAAGTAAAACAAAAATAAATATCTTTTAAAATGTTGCCAGTCAATATTTATCATCTGTCTGACTGTTTTTTAATCAGACTTACATTGTACGTCTATCTGAGTGATGGATGAGTTCTGGGTTCCGTATATGTTACTGACTTTACAGTAAAATTGTCTGTCAACTTCTGAGACAGTGGTTGAAAACCTTTTCCCCGAACCCACATCGGTCACCTGACCTCCATTCACTTTGTACCAAGTGTACACAGCTGGATTGGCATTGCCGTCGCAGGTCAGATTCACCAAGCTGCCCTCTTTTACTGTAGCAGAGTAGCTGACTGATGTGTTCTTTGGAGGATCTGGAAGAGATGATTGAAAATCTAGTAAGCTGTTTTTGTTACCTTTAGTTTAGACAGAGCCAGGCTAGTTTTCCCACGTGTTGCCAGTCTTTGTGCTGTGCTACGCTAACCAGCTTCTGGCTGTAGTTACATTTTTCACAGACAAATGTGAAAGTGAAACAAATGTTCTCTGACTAGCACTTGTCAAAAAAGATATACTGCATGCCAATGTACAAGACACCCTATTGTGTGCACTACCAAGGTTGATAATATTAAAGCATTATGATGGCTTCATGAATCAATACAAGTCTTACCAACTTTTGGGAGAATGTGGAAAACCTCTTTAAAGGTCTCCTATTATACTATTTTAAACATATATATTATTTGTCTCATAAAAAACATGTCTATGAAGTGTTTTGCTCAAAATACCAAACAGATCACCCATTCTAGCCATACCCCTCTATTTCAGCCCTGTTAGAGAAGTGCTGATTCTGAGTCCATTGAATAAAATCTTAATTCTGTCCTTTCCCCGCTCAGAGACCCAGGTCGTCGCACGCATCTCTGCTTGTCTAGCTGACATCTCTCAGTGGATGTCTGCTCATCACCTCAAGCTCAACCTTGACAAGACTGAGCTGCTCTTCCTTCCGGGAAAAGATTGTCCCACTCTTGACCTAACAATCAACATCGGCACCTCAGTTGTTTCCCCGACTCAGACTGCAAGGAATCTGGGTGTGACCCTAGATAACAATCTGTCCTTCACTGCAAACATCGCTGCTACAACCCGCTGCTGCAGATACACGCTTTACAACATCAGGAAGATACGTCCCCAGCTGACACAGAAAGCGACTCAGGTTCTGGTCCAGGCTCTCGTCATCTCACGCCTAGACTACTGCAACTCCCTCCTGGCTGGTCTACCTGCATGTGCCATCCGACCTCTGCAGCTCACCCAGAATGCAGCGGCTCGCCTGGTCTTCAACCTTCCTAAATTTTCCCACACCACTCCGCTCCTCCGCTCCCTTCACTGGCTTCCGGTAACTGCTAGAATCCACTTCAAGACACTGGTACTTGCTTACCATGCTGCGAATGGATCTGGCCCTTCCTACATCCAGGACATGGTTAAACCGTACACCCCAGCGCGTGCACTACGCTCTGCATCAGCCAAACGACTCGCTGCACCCTCGCTGCGAGGGGGACCCAAGTTCCCATCGGCAAAAACACGTGGGTTTGCTATCCTGACTCCAGGATGGTGGAATGAGCTCCCCATTGACATCAGGACAGCAGATAGCTTGCACATCTTCCGGCGCAAACTGAAAACTCATCTCTTTCGACTCCACTTCGAGCGATAGAACTATTAACGAAGCACTTTTATACTAATAAAGGACTGGCTTATCTAAAGCCAGTTGAGTAGCACTTGAAATGTTTGGCTCTATGAAACCTGATGTACTTATATGATTCTGTTTTCTTCAAGTTTGTATTTTGTTGGTCGAACGCACTTATTGTAAGTCGCTTTGGATAAAAGCGTCAGCTAAATGTAATGTAATGTAATGTAATAAAAAAAACCTCTCTCTCTCTCTCTCTCTCTCTCTCCTCCTCTCTCCTCTCTCTCTCCTCTCTCTCTCTCTCTCTCTCTCTCTCTCTCTCTCTCTCTCTCTCTCGCTCTCTCTCTTCTCTCTCTCTCTCTCTCTCTCTCTCTCTCTCTCTCTCTCTCTCATTGATGTATTTTATACATAAATATCCCGTCCCGGGCATATCAGGGAACTCACAAAGTGTCAGAAAATAAAACCCTCTCTCTTTTCCTCCGTGTGCAGATCTCTGAAAAACGGAGCTACTGTACAATGAGCTGATCTAGACTTGCCATCCGATATGACGTTATTTAACCCTATCAGAAAGTTGCTTTCAGAATCAATAGGAACTCACCTTGTGGTAAACCAGCAAGAGAGAAAGCCTTATCCTTGTCTATAATGTTTCAGAAATAATCCTTGATGTGGTTTTGGCGTTTCATCAACGCAGCATTTATTTTAGACAGTATCGGCCGGGTCCCGCATGAGCAGGCATAAGCTCTGCCCCCTCTTTTTTTTTAGTAACAGGAAGTGAAATAGAGGGATATGAGGCATGGCTAGAATGGGTGATCTGTTTGGTATTTTAGACTTGTTTTTTATACATTTTCATACATCTGAGACCATCTATTGCCTAAATATTGCATGGTGACCTTTAAAGACATCTGAAAGTGCTTTTTGCATGATATGTGACCTTTAAATAATATAAATAAGAATAAACTCAAGTCAGCATATAAATGACTTTGGTTTAGTGTCCCATTTTTTCCCACTAAATAATCAAGTCTGCAGTTTTAGTTAACACAACTTGATCCAAATACTCTGCAGAGTCCCCAGAGGAACATTTCATAACATCACATGATATCAAATGAAGGAAATGATTAAATGTGAACTAAATCAACATCCAACTCAGCAACAAGAAAAGGCCTGAAGCATACTCACAAAGAACATGGAGGGTCATAAACTTTTCAAACCGAGGGTCGGTGTTGCCAGCTTGTGGTTTGTAGAGAGCGGTGCACGAAAAATTCTGTCCATTGTGGAGGTAAGAAGAGGTGAAGTTCATAACTGAGACCATGGATTCAGATTCATGTTTCTCCTCAATGTCACCTATCCTGGGGGTCCAAGTCAGATCTGGCGGAAGGATGGGACACGGAGCTACAGCCGTGCAGTTCAGCGTCACCAGAGCCCCCTCTTCTACCTCCAGTGTAGATGGAGTTATGGTAGGTTGGTCCAGTGAATCTGAGGAGTAAAAAAAACAAGTACATGACAAGAGGGAACCAAAAGATGTGTAAAGTGAAACAATTAAAAGACACAATACAAACTTTGAGTGGTGATACGGACTCCTGTTGGATAGGTGCCCTTCAGGTTGTTATCACACTGAATCCTGAAGTAGTAGTTGTCAGAATGGGACAGTGGCATGTTGTAGAAGATGGTGGTGCACTCCTTGTTCAGCAGGTTCCCTGTGAGGTTTCCGCTTGCCTGATCTCCAGTGAGGTCGGAATCAAACACAACTGTTCCGCCTGTGCTTCCTCTGATCCAAATTGCTTTGCAGGAATCATCCAGATCTACATCAAACTTTGAGTTGAAGTCGAAAGTGCAGGGGACCTTCACACAGGATCCAGTTAGTCCATCTATACTCAGAGGCATGGTGATTTCAAATGTCACGCATAAGCTACCTGAGGTGAAATAAAAGCAATAAATAAAAAATCTGCCAAGGTTAAAGAAAAACGAAGTATTCAAACAAATACCAGACTGGGACAGTTTTATCCCCATAAGACTGCTAAACACCTGAGCTCTGTTAAGTGCCTCAATAAACATTCATCTATTTTGTCATCTTGCGATCTACTTATTTATCTAAATAGTTATCACCGCAATAAACTGTATTTGTCTTCGTCTTAATGTACAATATTTAATTTCATATTCTGTTCTTGTATCATATTATATTTACATGTATATAGACTTCTTGCACTATTTTTTAAATTGTATTTTATTATATATGTTGCATCGTTGGAGGAGCTCGGGTCATAAGATTTCCATTGCCATTTCTACACTGTAGCTCATCTTGAAAAAAAAAAGGAAATTAAGCAGAAATATAAACTGTTAAAAGAAAACAAACCCGTCCAAATTAACAGCACACACAAAAAACCTTAACTTTAAATAAAAAAGCATATTTTGCACTTTTCGTGAGTAATCTAAAGTTTAGATTACTCACGAAAAGTGAGTAATCTAAACTTTCTAAACATTCGATGTCTTTAGATTCTAAAGACATCGAAAGGCATTCAATTGTTGGAAACCCTACCTTGAAGTAGAAGGAGGAAAACCTTTAAAGCAGCCGCCATGCTTTTCTGTCAGCTTGATATTCCTACAGAGGCACCAGACACACACAACATACATGAAATCTATTCATTTTATTAACTAGTTAACTACTTCAATATGAATAGCCCTAGTAAAGAAGAATAGATGTTTTATAGGGGGGATTATATTAACTTCACTTCATACTTCACAAAGTAAATATGATCAAATATGACGTTTGATATTTGTTGCTGAAAGAATAAGTTTGAGTAATTTCAAGCTTCACTTAGTAGAGAAGCAGTGCTGCTTATTTAAAAAACATAATGAATACTACTGAAAAGTATTAGTTAAAAGTTCAATTAATACTTTTAAACTATTGCTTAACTTGTATTGCAATGTACTCTTACTGTTACTGGTGTCATCACTAAAAAGAATAAATAATGTCGTCCTTTCAAAGGTAAAATAAGGGAGCCAGCATGAAGATGTTAACTAATGATAACTATTTAAAATGGTTTGCATTTGTTTTGATAGTAATGTTGTAAAGGTATGCACATTATTCTTACAAATAAAAAACAATATATGTATATATATATATATATGTAACAAAATGACCGAATTAACTAACAAAATAAGCCTGACATTTTATGACTTGCAATCATTTAAGTTTTTTAAAACAATTATTTTACCTTACAGCCAACAATGATGGTCAGCATACGATATTTTCTGTTTCTAGAGAAGAAATAAATACATTATGTTTAAATATACAACTTCATTTAGTATATACAGTACTGATCTATGTTTCAGAAATTGATAAAGAATCAAATAAGGTTTCACCAGCATGGAAGGGTCAGTGGTAATAGTCCAACAACTGAGTCATGTCAGACTGGTGTCGCGTGTTGATGGCTTTTGAAAGATGTGTCCGGGGTTTGGCCTTCAGCACCATAGAGTTTTGAATCTCTTTTTACTACATTAATGCAAGTCCCATCAGTCATTTCTAAGGGATTCACATAACAATGTTCCAAACCAGATTTTATAATGAAATATAAATGTGTTTTCAAAAGTGAGCTGTTGATTTACATATTCAACAAACAGAAAATGATCAAATATGACATTTGTTTCCACACTCAAGTACTCAACTGTTTCATCAGATCATTTTGTCAATTTGAAACAAAGAGGAAGTGAAGAAAAACAAAATGAAAGGCAATGCAGAAAGAGGGAATAAACAACAATTCAATACTTTACATGCATAAACAATAGAAGTCATAAAGTGTCATAAACTAAACAGTCAAGTTGAAGTAAATATAAGTGAAAACAAAGTGAAGTATAAAGACTTTACCAAAGTAGTTGCCAGTGGGCATTGTGTGGGATGTTTTTGAACAAGAAGAAACTATTTCTGAACTTTACTGAGCAGCCACATTTAGGAGCTACGCAGAGATGAACATGATGAAGGAATAAATACTTGGTGTTTGACAAGTATTTATGCTGGAATTTTTCTAAAATCACACCAAAAACGTAATGTTACAAACTGTAAGCTGATTAGAATCAATGCCCCACGTGTTTTGGACGTAATATGGTCTCATTAATTCGCATCATTAACACTCAGAGCTAACCAGTGCTGGAGAGAGCACATGTGTGAAGAAGCAGGACATCAAAAGGAACTCACCTTGTGGTAAACCAGCAAGAGAGAAAGCCTTTGAGCTCTATAATGTTTCAGAAATAATCCTTGATGTGGTTTCTGCGTTTCACCGCAGCATTTATAAGACAGTATCTGCCGGGTCTCTGTACCCTCTTTCTTTCTTTTTTTAAAGCTTTTTCCCCCGAATCAGCACTTTAGTAACAGGAAGTGAAATAGAGGGATATGAGGCATGGCTAGAATGGGTGATCTTTTTGGTATTTTGAGCAAAACTCTTCATAGACATGTTTTTTATACATTTTTTTATATATCTGAGACCTATGCTATTGCCTAAATATTGCATGATAGGTGACCTTTAAAGACATCTAAAAGTGCCTTTTGCATGATAGGTGACCTTGAAATAATATAAATAAGAATAAACTCAAGTCAGTACATAAATGACTTTGGTTTAGTGTCCCCTTTTTCCCCACTAAATAATCAAGTCTGGAGTTTTAGTTAAAGGTCCCATGTCATACTTTTCCGGTTATTACCCGTCCCCTTGTGTGTTATGAAGGTTTTTATGCATTTAAACGGTCTGCAGAGTCAAAAACCCTCAAAGTACACCCTGTAGCGAGTAAAACTCTAACACAGAAAATACCTCCCCAAAACGCCTCGTTGGAGATTTCTCGTTTTCTTCCTGGGTATCGCTACGTAGGGATACCCAGTAGCCACGCCCAGAGCTATGGCCGCACCCTCTGCCAGCCTTTCACGAAACAAAGCTTCCCAAACCTTTCAGGGAGGGATTCATGCCGGATATGTAGGCTACAGCGTAGGGCACTGAAGAACGATGCTGTTCCTACTTTGTTTGGACCAGCGGGAGATTCTGGTACACAACCTGTAAGTATTCATTGTTGTTTGTGTATTTATGATGTTTAAAACAAACAAGGTATCTACCACGACTGTTTAAATGGGTAAACGTTTTTTGGGCTACTATGTTGGGATCGCGGAGAAATGCTCTCCGCAGACCCATTCTCACAGCGTTATAAACCTTTTTCTTAGTCAATATCAAGCCACACTTATTGTTTTTACTTCGGCTGTGAGAGTTTGTGTGTACCATAGACTGTATATATAAAGGGTGTGTACTCAGGATGAGTTTCGCTTGTTCTCCTGTATCGCCGAGACGCCGACACGGAAAGCCTGTTTGCTCCTGCTGCAGCTCACACAGCTGCGAGGAGCTGCGAGCTACGAGCCTCTCAGTTTTGCGACCAATCAGAGCACACTGGGCTCACAGGGAGGGGGCGTTTAGGACAGAGAGTGAATACCATATAGACCAGCGACCAGTGGCGGTTCTAGAACATTTTACATGGGGGGGCAAGAGGTCATGCCAGGGTGGCATGGGAGGGCGGACAGTACGTGGTATTTTATACTGTATATAACCTATTTATTGTTAATTCATGCCCTAACACAAGTGTTCTTAATGCACAAGACAAACAAGGTGTTCAGACAAACAATCGGGTGCCCTTTGAGTCCCCCAAGCTTACCTCAACCATTTTAAATGAAAGGAAACTACAAAATGTATTTTAAAGCAATGAATTAATGGAACAGGTTTTTTTGCATTACAATGTCAAACTAAACATATATTTAGTTTTTCAAAAATTGGTTTTCTTAGTATTAGACAGACATATTTACATGTCCTCACTAAGCATTATTACATATTAATTTAATATCAAACAAATCAAAATGGCCAATTATCCCAAAATGTTGCTGCTAATATAATCATATGCTTGTCAACTTTAACTGATCAAAAATAAATTCTGAAAAAATACTTGAATTATCTATGAAATTGCAACATTGTCCCTCAGTTTGTTTCAACCCCGTCACGCCATACCATTTACCCTCCTATTAAAATAATGGATCAGTCCATGTGTGATCTGCATTGAGGGAATTACATCACAAAAGTGTCCGTTTCTTCTCTTACCTATATTTCAGTTTTTGTATTTTCAGATTAAGATTGACAAGCTCAACATTTCAACTTATAATTAAGTACACAAATGACATCACCCATCTCTTCAGACAGCTGAAGGTGACCTGTGCAGCAACACATTTCAATCAATATTTGTCAATACTAAGAGCTGCTAGATTGTGCTGCTGTGATGGAATATGTAAGGAGAATAAGAACATACCACGTGGTCCAGCTGGAGTTTCATCTGCCTCCTGATCCCTGCCTCTGTCCCTCTTTCTGACACTTCATCTTTATTCCTCACATACATTTCTTCTTCTTCACTAATGTCTTCATCTCCTCCTCCTGCTCTGACCCTCCTGGTCTCTTCATCTCCTCCTCTTCCTCCTGCTCTGACCCTCCTGGTCTCTTCATCTCTCTTTTCCTTTTCCTCTTTCTGTTCGTCCTGATCACTTCTCATATGTCTTTGTGTTGTTGTTGAATCACTCCTATACTCTGGCCTGCAAGAGTCTACTTGTGAAAAGCACTGGTACAAATGATTGTATAACTTTACGCGTTAGGGCCATGTAGCCTAGCTAATATGTAGCATATCATATAACATCAGAAAGTATTGATCAAGCGCACACAGGCAGCTGTGTTTGGATCCAGTTTTTACGGTAAAGGATGTATCCTGGTTTCATTGATTTGTCCTCATGGCTGTGATGTGTAGTTTACGTGGATGTAATAGTAGGCTACCGCGTAGTTTAGCAAAGTGATCGATCTCCCAGCTAACGCTGTCTGCGTAGTATTTTGTAACGTAACGCCCCAAACAGCGCCCGTCTGTTAAACGCTATCGATTCAAACGGCAGCGTTTTATTAATATTTAGTTTCAAGCTCTCGTCCTTAGTAAAAACAAAACTAGTGGAAAGGGAAATGCTCCGAGGGGAAGCTGATCCATAGGTGCTGGGACAGCTCGCTCCCTCTCTGCATCGGTGTGAGCCGCGGTCTGTGTGAACGCCGCTCCGCAGTTTAATGCAGGGCCATAGCTGCGTTTTTAACGGGCCTAAAATGATATTTAAAATGATTCCCTTTTAACTAATGTAATGCTTGTTTTGTTGCTTGAGAAGCTTGTGGAAATAGTGTATGTTTGTTTTAGTACAGTTTTAGGGAAACAAAAGTTAGGGGGGCAGCTGGGGGGGCAAGGCTCTACAGTGGACGTGCAGTCAGGGGAGGCAGGGGAGGCAGAGCCTCATCTGTCATACTCCAATGTAACAGAAAAACAACTAAAGAAAAATGAACTAGTAATAATAATAAAATGTCTCCACTGATCTGTGTTGTAAGTGTGATTTCTGTGTGATTCCAATCGCTTTTTATAGTCAAAATCAGTAAATTTGCCGAGCTCCGCTACAACTACGGGTAGCGATGAGAAGTGAGGCAGGGACGAGCTCTGCCTCTCGTAAGCCCACAGTACCTGGCTGGAGCGCGGGCACTAATTTAACGTGGGCACTTGTTTTGTGAGCGCGCTCAAGCCAGTTACTGTGAGGTAAGGTGAGGCACAGATGAGATCTGCCTCACCTCAGAATGCGTCACCCCACAGAAACTGGCTGGAAAGCGGGCCCTAAGCGCATGCCTGCACCATCTCACTGTATGTCACCAATGTAATGTTTGTAGATCCCTTTATTACATTTATCCTCGCCATCCATAGTCTCTAAATAACTTATTTCACGTATATGATATTTAGGCTCGCCGTACAACGGCAATGAAAAAAGCGCCAGGGGAGGCAGCCATAACCTCTGCCGCACTGAAGGGGGCGCACGTGAGCCCACAGGTTCTTGTTGCTACTGTTATTCTACGCAGGGACGGTAGACGCGAACAACAAACTAGACTTTTGAAACTAGAGGAAGATAAGGAGGACTTTTACAAAAATGTAATGGAGATTGTTGTCCAGAAGGATAGCATGGACTTCATCTTCAAGTCAAGGTAAGACCACAATTGTAATGAAAATGGGATCTTACTAAGAAAAAACAATCCAATATTTACATGTTGGGTATCCTTTTGTTGAATGGTCTGTTTAAAATGAATCGAAGCATCAGACTAAAAAAGCTTTTGAAAATAACCGAATATTTCGATTAAAGCCAGTTGAGTAGCACTTGAAATGTTTGGCTCTATGAAACCTGATGTACTTATATGATTCTGTTTTCTTCAAGGTTGTGTCTTCCTGGTCGAATGTACTTATTGTAAGTCGCTTTGGATAAAAGCGTCAGCTAAATGCAATGTAATGTAAAAAGGTCAAAATATAATATTTGTAAATCTGACTCTGAAAGAGTCAGTGCCTCACCAGCCATGAAACTCACCGCACGTCACTGATATAGACTGTATATATAAATGGACGTAGGTGAATACACATACTTTACAGCAGTGGTTCCCAACCTTTTTTTTTACCAAGGCACACCTGAAAATATTTCTCGACCCCAAGGCACACCAACTTCTCGTAGATTTAAAAACCACTTCAGAGCTAAAACTACAAACAATAAATACACCATAAATTGGTTTTCAAATGTGTATTTAATTTAATAGAACATTTTATAGAACAAATAATCGAATATAAGTCATCCTAAAAACCATATAATCCATCATAATGACAAGAACCAGACTAAAAACGACTCTCCTTCTGAGTTATTATTTTACATTTGGATTTCAAAAGAGGTAGGCCTATGATGACTTAAAATTAATAATAACTTAATAATAATTATAACAGACTAATCAGTTTAAACAGCACATGTTAGTGCGACACATGTGCCTGCTTTTGGGAGCAGAGTCTCTTTATGCGTGGGGGGATAGTGGACAGCGCACCGAGGAGGTCCTGCTCCACTGACAGCCGGGGGCGGGTCTTGTTTTTGACATATGCGACAGTGGCTGCGCTAGGGGGTGGCTACTTGGGCTCAAGCCCCGGATGTTTTCTGAAAAGCCCCGGATGTTTCACTTAAAATGTCTCGTGAGTAATCTGCAGTACCGGAGTCCACCAGAGAGGCAGCCACTGCGGGACAGTAGCCTGTGTACTGCGTAGCCTTCACTCCCCTGAAGAAGAAGTGATCCTCCCTAGTGCCTGACGAGTTTTAAGCTAATAGCCTATAAAGTTATGGATATTAGAAAGTTATTTTTCATCGAAGCAGGCGCCACAAGCTGCTGCAGCAGTATCAGCAGCTGACAACAATGTCATCACCAGCAGTG